TCACCTGAACTCAGAGCTTAAAGATGATTCTAGGAAATATGTATTCCAATTTTGCCACTCGAGAAATAATTTATCAAATCAGTCAAGCAAGTAGGATCTTTCAAAGACACATCAACTTCATCCCACACTGGAAGGGAAAGAAAATGAAGATGTAAATGTTATGTTCAGCCACTTTTTTTGTGTGTGTGTTCTAAAAATTGAACTGCAAAAGAGCTCCTCAAGTGAGCTCAAAGAGTTAATGAGACTTCTTGAAGCCATAAGCTGACTATGGTTGTGTGTTTTTTGTATCCACAAAGTCTGGTACAATAAAAATGTAAATGTTATCTGAGTACACAAGACATATTTCATGGTGATAATGAATCTGTTGACATACTGTTCATTCTTTATTATATACATTTCGGTGATGTATTTGCCAGAGAGGAAAACAAATACACAGGGAAATACCCTGTGCTCAACCCTTACAATATGCTTGGGGCTGGCACATGTCCTTGGCACAGTTTGCCCACCTGCCTTAACTTAATCAAAGCACTGTGACATTGGGAGGAGCATAACAGCTCCCTTATTGACCGAGCTAATCTAACTGGATTTGGAATAGGAACTAGAAGATGAGTCCTTTTAAAGCGCACAATACTGATTCAAAAACCTGTCCTGCAACATAATCATTTATGGGATTTATCATCCTTCATGTGTGACCCAGTGTGTGTGAAAGATGACCAGATTGGGAGGGTCCCTGCCTGTTTGTCCTCAAGCCTGCATCCCAGAGGTTCTGAACGCAGCAGGCAGAGATGGGAGGACTGTTTAGTGTCACCAGCTGGCAGGACCGGCTCTCTAATTTGCAGGGCCCAGGGCAAAATGAAAATGTGTGACTTCCTGGTAAAAAATTACCAGGAGTTTCTGGATGGGAATAGCAGACCCTTAAACCAAGTATGGAGCCCTGTGCAGTAGCACAAGTCACACACCCGTGTCTAAACTTGCCTGCCTGCGGGGTTTCCAGGATGAAGGGCTGCCCTCTAGTGTTGAAGGGAAAAAAATGAAGTCTTTATCCCAATGCTTTTTTTTTTTTTCTCCTCTCCCTTAGGCCCAGTCAGAGCTTTCACAGTTGACGTCTTTGTGCAATTGATATGGAATACATTTATGGGAACTCCTTTGCTCTCCATACCTTACCATTGGCATAGCATCCTGCTACCCTAAAGACATAGAAATGAAGTAGATGGCACCTTGGGGGTCCCTTCAGTTGCAGGGGCCTGTATTTCTCACTCCTGGCTTTGTAACAAAGGACATTATTTTCATTCTACCTCATGCTGCTTCTGGGTTATTACTTTTTTCTTTCATATAAAAACGTTTTTTGGTATTTTAAATGCAATTAATGCAATTGATGCAATTAGTTAAAACACACTGATAGAATAATTCTAATGATGGTGCTGATTCACATTTTATTTTGTATTAAACATAATGTAACAATAGAGGTCCCTATAAAAATAAGCACTAGAGCTAAAACCAACAACCAACAAAACCTTAGGGAAGCCTGACATATCCTTGATTTTTATATTATATCCCTTCCATGAACATTTTTCTATGATGGTGAGATTTACATTGTTGGAGGAAGATGGGGATGAATGTTGATTTTTGTTTGTTTTGTTTTTTGTAGGATTCTTTTTCAAAGTGGTACATTGGAGATTCCTATGGGGGTCCCAGGATAGGTACTCCCCCCCTCAACATCTGGCACATAATAGTAAAAAATATTTGTTGAATGAACTAATGAAAGAATAGATTATAAAAATGTCATAAGGGTTAAATTATCTCTGTTCTGAGTCTAAATATAGATTGCCCCTGCATTTACAAAATTCTCTATAAGTCTTACAACAACCCCTTTAATACATGGTGCATATACAAATGGTATAGATACTGGTTGTTAAAAACACTTTTCCCATTAGAACAAAATAGAAAATAATTAATTAAACCTTTACTTTCCCCTCACAAGTCTTTCAGTTCTTTTTTTTTCCAGGCACCTTAATTATAGATTGTTTACTTTTCTTCCTTCTTGATTAGGAGAAAGCAGACATTTATCAATACAAGGGGTGAAGAAGCAGCAAGAATTGGAGAGAAGAAGAAAAAGTATATTGCTCCAATAGGAAAGGACTGGAAATGTTCAGTTCTGCCCAAACTATGGACTCCGAGAAGAAAGATTCACTTCATGTGCACCAGGAGAATGAATTTGTCCAGATAGCCCACCCAGGACTCAAATGTTATGAATAATAAAAGTAGCAGCCATTTGCTAACAGGGTTTTTGCCCACACTCCAGGAAAGAACTTCAGGCTGAATTCCTGACTTCTGCATCATTCCCTGATCATTTACCCTCACTGAAAACTATTATGAAGGGCTTTCTGGTTTCCTTTTTGGACTAATAGATTAAGACCTGCCTGTCCAATCAGAACTGCCTCATAACAACCAAATATAATGCTGACCAGTCAGGACTGTGACATCGGACCAATCAGAAGTACCGATTTAGATGCTTCATTTCATAAAATGGACCTAATTGGAAACATGGGCCAGCAGAACACAATTTAGGTTGCTGCCTGAATCTGAGCCTTCTGGATTGGATCTCCATTTCCTCAAATAAGCAGGTTTTTAATATTCTTTTTATTTCCGTCTAAAATTTATGTTGGTTTACCAAGCCCAGAACGACCTTGGGCAGAGCTGAAGAAATAAAGAAAATCCACACTAAAGAAGCTATGGCCAACTTCCCACTCAACTGTGTCTCCTTAGGTGAGATTAGGTTCTGGAAGTTTCTAAGTGTGATTTGTCTTTGCAACTTGCTCTCAGAACCACTAACCTCCTAGAATCCCCTGGCCCAAAAGAAAGAACTGAGCCCAGTGGGTGCGTTTAGACCAGCAGGAAAGGCTGAGATTAGATGACTTGGTTACAGTTGACAGTCTGGGATGGTGTAAAAGGAGAGGCAGGCAAGGGGTGGTGGTGGTGGTGGGGAGCTTCAGACAACCTAGCAGATCAGTTTCATTCTACCGCTAGACTGGGTGGAGGTAGGAACATGGGCTGTGGGAGGCAATGGGGGACCTTCTGCCATCCATTTCCTCCTCCCATTTCTCCTTCTCTCCAAGTCTTGGGCAGGAGGGAAGGTCCTGGACGAGGTGGGGCAGGATCCTGGCCAAGGATCAGGTATCTGGGCATGCCCCTGAGCCCAGCCCTCTTCTGTTTCCGCTCTACTCTCCCTCACCTCCATGGGTGTGCCTTTCTCTGGTCATAACCCCTGGGCAGAACAGACATTGACTGCTGCTAAAAATACCCCCCTGGAAGCTCGCAGTCTCCTCTCCCCGAGTGGCCGGGTACTGTCCATGGGCACACAGCTACCCAGATCAGATATCCCTGCTCAGCGAGAATGACAGAACAGCCTGGGCGGGCAACGGAACAGCTCTGAAACAGGCGGCAATAGGCAGGCTAGCACTCAGAGTCCTGAGCCCTGGGTGTCTCCAGGGGGTGACCACAGGGGTCTAGGACCCCCCCCCCCTGGGCTGTTTGCTGGTGGCAGGAAATGGGAGGGTCGCTGTGCCTTGGATTCCTTAGGCTTTGGGAGGAGGCGAAATTGGCGGGTCTTTGGGTCAGACAACACTGGAGTATGAAGCATCCTCCAGAAGGATGGGCTCCTTAGGAAGAGTAGCGGTGAGATCCCTGTCACCCCACGCTAGGGCCAATGATCTCCATCCCAGGGGTGTGCAGAGGGGATGCTGCCCCCCCCCCCCCGCCAGCTTCAGTTTCATCTTGGGCGTCTCCCACCTAGTCGCTCCAGGTGGCGAGGAGGGGGGAACCCCAGAGCCCGCCCGCCCTGAGCCCCGCCACACTCTGAGCCCTTCCCTCCGCTCAGAAGGGGTTCCATGGGGCGTGGCAGCCAGACAGCTCCCCCTGCCCCTCCCACACAGAAAACCTTGGCCCATTGGGCACCTCTAAAGTAAAAAGTGCAGGACGCAAGTGTGGCTGCCTCACCTCCGCCCCACACCTTCTGCGCCGCATCACCTTCACCTGTCTACCCCATTGCGCATTCGGGGCCTGTCCTCCTAGGACTCCAGGGGTCCCAGCCCTTTCCTGCCCCGCAGGAAAGCCCCCCTGCCCTCCGTGGTAGCGTGGGAAGCCCACCGCACGGTGTTGAGATAGAAGAGGTGGGTGGGAAACTCCTACCCACTGGGGGGGGCAGGGTAGTAGAACCCCTCTTCCGTGCCCCCAGATAGTGACAAGGAAGGAGTCCCACGTTCCTCCGAGAGGGAGCTACACTAGGATGGGAGGTTCTCCTCCCCGATGGTGGGGACGGCTGACAGCCCCTTTCCACCCCCTGCAGCCCGCCCAGAGGCTGGGGGCACCGGAGGGTGGGATACTCCGCTCCGTACGCTGGGAGCTGGTGCAGAGGAAGGAGGCCAGGCGCCCCCGCAGGGCTCTGAGCGCAGAGGGAAGTGGCGGGGGGGAGGGAGGCGGGGAGGCGGCAGGCAGGGAGAGGGAACCCCCGGGCTGAGCTCTGAGGTAGCGGAGAGGAGGTGGACCGAGCTGTGGCTGAGTGTGGGAGGGCGGAAGGAGGGGACACCCGGGTGGGGCGCGGCCGGTGCCAACCTCCTCCCCCGCTCCTCCTCGCACTCCTCCCATCCTCCAGCCCCGGCCTCCCCCAGCGCACTGCCCGGCCGTCGGGGGGCAGCGGCGCGCAGAGGCCGGGCTGCGCCGCGCGGGGCGAGGAGAGGCGGGCGGAGGGGCCCCGGTCGCACCCTCTCCCTCCCGCGCGGTGGCGGCAGCTGCCCCCGAGGCCGCCACCCGGCCCCCGCCTGCACCGCCAGCGCCCAGCCCGGGGCGCCGAGCGCCGCTCCCGCCGGGACCCCGGAGCGCAGCGCGGGGCGCGGGCAGCGGCGCGGCCAAGGCGGCGGCGCCGGAGCGGGAAGCGGGGACAGCGGGCGGCGCACCCCGGCCGGGCTCCCTGGATCTGGATCGGCGCCCCGCGAGCCGCCCCGATGTGGCAGGAGGCGATGCGGCGCCGCCGCTACCTGCGGGATCGCGCCGAGGCGGTGGCGGCGGCGGCCGCGGGCGGCGGCGGCGACGGCGACGGGCTGCAGCGGTCCCGGGACTGGCTGTACGAGTCCTACTACTGCATGAGCCAGCAGCACCCGCTCATCGTCTTCCTGCTGCTCATCGTCATGGGCGCCTGTGTCGCCCTGCTGGCCGTCTTCTTCGCGCTGCGGCTGGTGAGTGAGTGGCTTCCCCCGCCGCCGGGGACCTGCCCCGCGCCTCCCCGGTCCCCAGAGGAGAGGGACCCAGCCCGCCCAGCGGCCCTTCTCTCTCAGCTCCCTGCCCCTCCTGCCGCCTCGAGGCTGGCCTGGCTCTGGCCAGGGCTGCAGGCACCAGAAAAGTTTCCTTGGACGGTTCTGCCCAAAATAAAGTTGCCGGGGTGTCCGCCAGGTGGACCGCGGGGCGCGAGTGTCCCCTCCCTGCGAACCCGCAGGCAAACTCCGCCGCACTCGGCGCCCAGGCTGCCACCCGCCACCTCTGCTCCATGCGTCCCTATCCAAATGGACCCGCGACTTCCGTGGCCGCTGTCTGCCTCCTGAGCTGATGTTTCCGTTTGAATTGGTGTCATTTAACTTGGCAAAAAGCTTGCCTTGAGACAGTGGTTAATAAGAAGGAAAGTGAGGTTTAAAAAAAAGTATATTATCGTACATCTTTGCCTTTAAGTCTGTATGTCTTTAGTCCCATATTCAGAAAGGGATGGGGTGTTGACCGGTTGTGACTCTGCATCCTCTGAGCCTAGAAGTATCAGGCGAGATCCTTGCCCGTTTCTAGAGCGGGAGGTAGTTCACTATGTGCACTGGCGCTCCGTAAAGTGGATCTCATTAGCAAGAGCCCGGTGCGGCCCAACGGCTGATGTCAATTTCGCCAATTTGTGTTTTTCAAAGCAGAAAGCTTTGGCTCACTCCCTTGAGCAGTAAGGGGAAATCTGTAGATGGCAGTAAACTTCCTGTCACGGATCCTTCTATGCCTGGTGGTTCCAACTTTTGCACCTCCTGGGATGTGTGTGTGCTAGGCATCGGTTACCCAGTGAGATACTTTGGGGGCAGTGAGTTGATCCTCGGGGGATGTCTTCAGCTCAGACTAGAAATATGCATCACATTTGTGTCCACCGAGCAAAGAAGTGGATGTTTGTGCGTGTGGCACCCAGTGTGCAAAATAGCTGTCTTTGGTACTTGGCAGGTTGTTTCTGACATCCTGAGCCAGATGGTGCTCAAATGTTATGCACTAGAAAACTTGCCATCATAGGGTTCTTTCAAAACTAGAGGTACTCCCGCCACCACCACCCCCCCCCCCCCCCATACTGGTGAAGGGATGCTGTCTTCTGCTGGAATCCAGGGAGGTCAAAATTAAAAACTGAGTGTAGGAGAGAGCATGATGCCCCATATCACAACTGGCTAGTACATGTAAAACAAGGAGCAGGGAGCGCCCTTTGATCCTGTGTCCTGGGGATGGGTTCAGGCCAGGTCTCACACCCCTGTAACCAGGACAGCCTCCAGTGCTCCCCGGAGTGACATCATTACCTCTCCTCACCACTTTTAGGACCAAAAAGGACTTGGAGAGAGACTTCTGGTCAACCTCACTGGCAAGCAGCATTTCTAAAAGCATCTCCTTTTTGTTCCAGAACTTTCAGGGAAGAAAAGACGTCAGTTTCCCTCTGGAAATCTGTTTTGCCAGGGCATAGCTGCTGGTGATTCTGTTGAAGCCGTAATGCAAAGCTGTTCTGGCTTGTTCTCCTCTAAGTGGAAAAGGAGGAGCAGGTGATGGCCTATTTATAGCAGCGTTAATATATTTAAAGACAACTGGGGAGCTCATACTTCCCCTACACACACGGATTTTTTTGTCTGTTTGTTTTTGCTCTGACATACATAGATCTCTAATTTATTTGACCTCCTTCGTATATATGTTTCTGCATGGGTCAGAGATTCAGTGGAGTCGAGCTGAAAGCACCCTTCTCTGACCTCTTGATCTTTGTATTTGTGGTTCTTTACACAGTTCCGTTATGTTCCATTTCAAGTGGTGCAAATGCTTCAGTGGTCTCCTTTTGCAAAGTTTAAACAGGCGATTTTACTTTTCCATGATCAATCAGTTATTTTCACACATTCCTGCCATTCAGCTAAATCATTTTAAGCACAAAATGGGCACTTCCCATGGCATGGGTGTAGTCCAGGCTCAAGTCCAGATGGATCCCGTCCTTTTTTTCCTTAATATATTTTATTGATTTTTTTACAGAGAGGAAGTGAGAGGGATAGAGAGGTAGAAACATTGATCAGCTTCCTCCTACACACCTCCTACTGGGAATATTCCTACAACCAAGGTACATGCCCTTGATCAGAATCAAACCTGGGACCCTTTAGTCAGTAGGCCAATGCTCTATCCTCTGAGCCAAACTGATTAGGGCTGGATCCCATTCTTTTGCTGTACCTGGTCCATGGTCTGACTACTGTGTAAATCCTTCGAGGTGACAATCTGCACAGAAACAATCCAGATTTTGGGAGGATGGTAGGGAAGGCTAACTTCAGGTGGGAGCTTGGGCTGCACACCAAGGGGGAAGTGGGAAACTTTGGAGGAATGGGCACATCCTCTGAAACTGTATCTCAGGAGGGATTGGGATAGTTCTGAGCTTCTAACAGTTTATTTCTCTTTTGCTTTTAGTGATGTCATACATGGCAGTTCCTCTTTCCAAAAATATGTTCTTCATCCAGATAGTCAAAAATGGTTGGGACAGGACCATTGGAAGATGGGACGGTGTTAACATAGAGCAATGTTTGCATGGAGAGGGTTGAGTTAACTTTTGCAGGCTGATCAGAGTCTGGCTTCTAAGAGATCTACTTCAGGAGATGGAAACAGCTGCTTGGGGCTGGCCCAGGTGTCCACCTTCCAGCACTATACTAGAATAGCTAGGCAGTGATGTAATTCAGGAGCTCAGCAGATCTATTTTTGCTGCCTGAAATCTTGGACGGATTCCTTCTTTCCTGTGAATCTGTCCGATTTTGATTTCCATTAGAATTTCCATCAGTTCTTGTAGTAGAAAAAGTCTGGCAGTATTCTTGATGCACATCCATAGATCTGGAACATTTGGATTGCAAAATGATCTTAGCGTCAGTCCAGTACACAGTGATTTTTTTTTTCTATATGTAATTGCCTTTGTACAAAGTGGTTGGAAATATCTACTAAAAAGAAAAAAGTAGGCATTGTCTTGATTTTGTATTTCTCTAACTGGCATTATTCAGAACCTAGTTTCACTTAATTTCAATCTACGGACAATCCATGATTCTGCATCATTAAGTTAATCCTCCAAGTATTTGTATTATACTGTAAAAATAAATTCTGAATTGGAGCTTCACCATCTTGCTTAATTATTTGCTACATAAAAGGCTATTAAGTAGGTTTAACTCCATATTTGTTAAGAATTATCTAGACATGAAACAAAGTTAATAGAACCCATGATAGTATGTCTAGAATTTTAATATTTAATAACATGAGGATATTTTCCATTGCTTATCATGGAATTTTTTAATGGTAGTACTGGATGTGATGAGGAAAATAAACTTTGCCCCTAGCCTTGGAAAACTGGGAATTAGTGTGACCAAACTGTAAGTAGTCTAAGTCTTATGCTGTCACTTCATTTTCTAGGGCTGATTTTCATTATGAAATGTAAGAAAATCCTTTCTCAGAATTAAATCCTCCCTCTTTTATTATGTCCCAAATCAGATAGCTTTTCTCAAAATTTGCCAGTATTTTTTTGTGTGTCAATAACAGCTGACTCTAGCCAGGTTTGTTTTGGCTAAAATTTATAACTAGAAATAGTCAATATTTCAACTGGAATGGAAAAATTTTCATTCCCATTAAGTTTTAAGAGGTCAAATATTGCAATATATTTCTGGGTGTGTTTTTTTTAATGATGCTGAAAGCCATATGCGTATATACTTTTATGAAATATGTATGTACTTCGAATAAATGTGATTTTCACTGAGAATATTATCTGCTTTCTTTGCTTTTACTGTGATTTCATGTAAAATCTTTACAATGATAACCATAAGTATTTTTTATTACAAATCAAATTTCCAGTATCTGGTGTTTTTCTAGAGGCTGATATATCAGAGTGTTTCTTCTGTCTATATAAAGATTAAGAATCATAATGCTTCCCAAACCAACCAAACAACAACCCAATCACTGTAGGATGAACTTGGCTTTATTACTGCAAACAACATTTCAGTAGCCTCGGTTGAAGGATGCCAATGGGAAGAAGTCAGTCCTGCAACCCCTTTTTTGGGGGGTGGGACACTGGAGAAGGCAAGTAAATAATATGCCTGTCATCTCCTAAGGAGCAGGAGTTCATGCATACTTTCTATAGCCCCGTAATTCTGGGGATTGAGGCAATAGTGCCTGTTCTTAGGGATTGGAGTAGAGGTAGCTAAAGATACATCTTTTTGAGCATTTCTATACATTCATAAAAATCTTAGGTGGCAGGTATTTGTAACCTACAACCAGTAATTCACTGGTATAAGAAAAGGAAAGAAAAACTGTAATTTTCTGCAGGAAAGGTGATTACAATTTAGAGGGCTAGCAAGAAAGGACTTTGGCCGAAGTCGGTTTGGCTCAGTGGTAGAGCGTCGGTCTGCGGACTGAAAGGTCCCAGGTTCGATTCCTGTCAAGGGCATGTACATTGGTTGCGGGCACATCCCCGTAGGGGGTGTGCAAGAGGCAACTGGTCAATGTTTCTCTCTCGTCGACGTTTCTAGCTCTCTATCTCTCTCCCTTCCTCTCTGTAAAAAATCAATAATATAGATAGATAGATAGATAGATAGATAGATAGATAGATAGATAGATAGATAAAAGAAAGGACTTTGGAAGCGTCCTGTAGATACTGAAGTGCATAATTAAAGTACCTTTCTTTTTTCATTTAACAAAGGCAGACATTGTAATGGTTAAGAGCGTCTATCTGTGTGGCATTTTGGCTTTGTCCCTTTCTGTGATCTTGGAGAAATTGTTTAATCTCTGTATGCCCCAGTTGTCTTGTTTGTAAATGCAATGGTACCTGTCTTCTAATGTGATGGTCCAAATTAGTACACGTGAGGCACTTAGAATAATGCCTGACACAAAATATGTCCCCAGGAACTATGGTTCTTCTGTATCTGCATTTCCCCTATTGCTATGAACGAACAGATAGCCACCC